GTTAGTAAGTTAATTTACCGCTACAAAAAATCTCCAAGCAAGCATTGTTAGTAGAAGCACTTGGTCTTGTTAGTCGAATCACTTGGTTTTCTAAAATCAGATGATCAGAACTGCACGGTCACAAGGAAAACAAAGAAGGAAGCTGCTGAGCTGAGCTGTGACAGTTGCTATATACGCAAAACTATTTTGGTCGATAATGATTAAAATGTCAGGACTCTCAGATAATGCTATGTTTTTGCTGTAAATGCAATGTATTCAAATTATTCCATTACGTCTTCTCACTTCAACTTGAAACAATGCCCGTGCCATTTTGTTATAATCTTGGTTCTAAATCATCTCTTCTATATTAGCAAAGCCAAACTATTCAGCGACAAAATATCTCGTGTCCATTAAGGAAACTTCAAGCTAAAAATAAACCAATTGCTTGAGAATATAAAATGCTAATTTTTTGCTCTTTCATATCTGCATGAAACTTTGCTTGAGTAGATGTTTAACATAATGATGTTCCCGAACTAACTGTTGCTTCAAATCCCAAGCACACAAATATTCTTCTAAATTTGGTGAAGGATTGCACACATGCTCTTGTGACGTTATCTAACAAGGACCCGGATTAGGAATCATTTAGAGATTCGCTAGAACTCAGTTGCTATCAGAGTAATTCCCAGTAATAAGAGGATAATGAAAGGAAGAAAAATTTTGCAAACTAACAATGTGCAGGATGGGTCAGTCATACAATCGAATTTTGCGCCAGTCGCTCACACATAACGCAAATCCTTTCTTCTCTTATAAGATTTGCCAGACGAAATCTCGAATTCCATCTGTTTTGTGAATCAAAATTCAATGTCAAATTTCAGTCAAAATTCATGTGAATCACGAAAATTACGTAGGGCCATAACTTCTTTCCGAATGAGTATATTCAAAATCCGAAAACAACGTTGTATTCAGCTCGTCAAGGCGAATCTTTCGATATACAGGTTGTCTCCAATATCTTGTTTTTAATAATCTTGAATTTGCATGCCGACGCCTCTTCGCATGGGTGTAACGCAACAAGCATCACACATAGGAGACTGCCATGGGCACCTTCGTTAGTACTCTTTCACTAGATTATCGTGCGCTAAACAGCAGCCGAAGACTCTCTTTTAAAAGAGATGGAAGAGCTGATAAACTCTGGAAAAATTAAGCTGTTCCAAGTTCTACTAGCCGTAACTTTCTTTAGAATGAACATTTTCGAAATCAGAAAGCGGATTTGTGTTTATCTTGTCAACGAATCTTACTGTATAATGCATGTCCTTGAAATTCCGTTTTCAATTTTTTCAAAATTTTCTGCGCGCGTATATTTACAAGGTCGCAACGCAGCGCACATCAAACATAAAAGACTCTATTAGGCACTGTTGGATTGTGCTGTTTCCGCAGGTTATCGAGCGCTAAGAAGCGACCGGAGAATCTTCTTGAAAAAAGATAGAAGAGCTGGTGAATTTGGAAAATCGTGCTGTCTCAAATTTTGCCCACGTGACCCTAAAATGAGAAGCTCTACTGCTAAGCAGATGTGATTTTCGTAATCAGCAGGTCAGATAACCTTTATGAGGAAGTTTTCAAAGAAATTTGCGTGATTTGATTTTTTTCTCGTTCTACGCCCAGAAGCTCGCCGATGGGTTTTGGTCAAAATGTCGATGACCTTGGATTGTAAAGAAACTTCGTCCAAAGAGGTTTTCGAACACGCTGTTTACGAAAATAGTGGTCTTTGAAGAAGACAGGGTCTTTTTGTAGAGGTATTGTGAGGTGACTGTAAATGAGTCACGAAAGTTCGTAAATTTGCCTGCACTTTTCGCGAATTTGTCAGAAACTTGCCCGCTTGCTTTCCCAAGTCAAAATCACTGGGAACTGTGCTATCAAAAGGTCCATGCTCAGGCTCCAGTCTATAAAGTTTGCCGAGTTACGAGCCTACGAAAACACGTCCTCATGAATTTTGCTCAAAATGTACAAATCGCGTATTTCGTCGAAATTCCACCCAGTACTCTGCGTTGTATACCACTGCTT